TATTTTACTGACCTTGGAAGGTTGAAAGTCTGAGTCAATCTTGAGCCTGTCGGTATTGAACTCCAGACTGTGGGCAGAGTTAACCTGCAATATTGTATTCTAACCACTGCACAGTTGATCAGAAGGACATGTTTATTGCTGCTCACCTGTTGACAGGAATCTTGCCAAACTAATGCACTCGTGACAGAAACTACTAGATAAGTACTGCAAGCTGTAGGGAGGATTTGCTTTCCACCGCCTCCTTCCCCTTAGTAGTTCCAAGCTAGTCAGTCTTTTCATTCCTCCCAGATTCACATCAGCTCCAGATTCCACTACGTCATTGGACTTCAATCTCCAGAATTCACCACTCAGTAAGAACTTTGTCAGCGGGGGCTGGGTTAGGATAGAGTAGTAAAAACTGCAAGCTAACATGTTCACGTGGTATTAGGATGGGGATAAGTGACTTAGGAACCTCTTTATTTATAAGTGATTTAGGAAACAATATGTAATCTTTCACAAAGGGTGGCTTTTTGACTCAATAGTACCCTGTCCGTAGGCCATGAGGAGGTAACTTGTGGCCTTCCAGGTGTTGCTGCACTACAGTTCCCAGCATTCCTCATCACGGGCATTACTTCCTACTTCTCTTGCTCGCTTGCATTTGTGTCAGAAGCACCTAAGACATTTCCAAGTTGAAGGAATTAGCTGGGGACATCACTGTTCCTCGGGGGATGCCTGATTGGGGGCTCCTTTCATGTCCTCGTTAATATGCCCACTGAAGTGGTACCTATTTATCTACTTGCAATATTCTCTCTGGAACTGCTAGGTGGGCGGGAGCAGGAGCGAATGACGGAGGGTCACCCCGCCACACAGCAGCACTCAGGTCTTGAATGAGGCCTTGCTAATCATCATTCTAACCACATGAGGCACTGTGCACCTTCCATTTCTCTTGCTTACTCTGACAGATAACAGGAGGGCAAGAACCCATTTCAATGGCCAGAAATCAGCCAAATTCTTTTGAGGAGGAGGCTACCATGGATGGAAGAATGGGAAAAAAATGGGAGAGGGGCATGTAAACATGGGTAGGAGCTGAACTTTCCTGATTTTCAGAAGGGTTTTTTCCCCTCTGAGAGTATTTATTTATTTATTTATTTATTAATTTAATTTATATCCCGCCCTTCTCCTTGCGGACTCAGGGCGGCTAACAACCAGATAAAATACTAATCACAAAAAACTACAAATTAAAAACATAATTAAAAACAAATATTAATAATTGGTCTAGTAGTTAAAAATTACTTTAAAACCCCCATTAAAAATTTTCCCCTAGGCCAGTCCTGC